AAACGGTTGAAACAAACATAAATTAAAATTGAACGGCCAATCTGAAAATAACAAAAAAAAGGGGGGGTTTCATTTAAAAAACCAGAGTTGGTAACTACCACACGTTTATGATGCACCCTGTATATTGGAAAGTAATTTTAGAATGTGGACCTTTTAAACGTGAAAAACTTTCGTTGGACGAATTTTCTTGTAAACTTCATATTTACTGAGATTTCGCACTTTGACGCACTAATGAGCAACCCTGTATATAACAAAAAGAGGGGAGCTTTTGCGATTTTTGACTGTTGAATGATTCGAGGAAAATGTTTAAGGTGAAAATTGAAAACATATGAACGTTAATAACAATTAGTTAATTAGAACGATTGGAAAGTAAATAGAAACAAACTTAACATAAATTGACGATTCAGATCAAATTAACTCCAATTAACCAGCAAACGCTAATCAACCCTTAAGAAACTTACACAAAATGAACGAAACACAGTTTCGCCACAAAAAAAATACTAATAAACCCAATCCAGTAAAATAATGCAATTTAATTTTAAGATAAATTGATATATTTTAAAACTAGACTAAACAGATTTAAACTCAGGGCTAGAATTTCTGCATATAATTTTTTTTAATCAGAACGATTAATCGGTAACTCTTGTATCGCGTCTCTTGGAAAAATTGACTTGTAGGTTTTAGCACAGTTAAACACGCGATTGAAATTTAAAAAACATTTTTTGAAAATAAATAAACGAAAAAAAAATGAAAAAATTAATTTTGAAAAAAGAATATTGTAAAGGTCAAAGTGTTGATACTCATTTAGTTATTTCTCCTTAAAGCTATCTAGCCAAAGCATTTCTGTTTCAATTTCAATCAACTTTATTTGCGTGTGCTTTTGTATGGAGATGAGGTAGATACCTAGATAATAAATTTTATGCGCGCTCGAATTTTATGGCAACTATTGCAATATTTTGACTGGTTTCTTGGGGAAGCGGAATGTATTCATTTTATTTCCCCAAGGATGAAATAGGACGCAATTTTTCATATATGTTTCTATGCTGCTCATATAAAATGGATTACTATTTAAATTTTAATGTTTCTGTTCACCATTAGTAACAGTACAAACACAAAGCTTGCATTTATCGAAAATCACAAGCATAGATATGGCCGTTAAATTTCGGTCCGTCAACATTAAGCACAACAATGTAACTACAATAATCAATAATTTAAAAACAGAACGAATGTCAAATAAGATTAAATATCTGAAAAACAGCGTTGTTTGAAGTATGTTTTTAAAATGATTAATTAGATTTTAGCGCAAACACTTTTCTGGTGGGTTCAAATGTTCCATATATTTTAAATAATTAGAATACATTTAATTGGCATCAGATCATAGCGTACACATTGTACTATTTATGAAAGAGCGATTTCAATTTTAAAATGTTACTTGAATGATAAACACATTTTCATGATTACTTTCAAATATTTTTCTTTATTATTATAATGAAATTTATGATAATGAAATATTAAGATCGAGTTTGCAAACAATAAGAGGACTAAATACACGTGCAATGTATTAAATGATTGAGCATTAACTGAAAAAAGCAACGGAGTGTCGAATTAATAATGATAAATAAGTATTGGATTTCACAACTTCAGCATCGACTCAGTGCAAGTAGTTTAGTGCAAAATTATTTACATCACAATTTACAAATTCTTTCATACATTTCAATCAGTATGTSCTACAAGCGAAAGCAGAAAAATGTTGTATTTCATCACAGGAATATTTCAGTTTCCAGGATTTTCTAATACCGAAATTGTTCCTCAAATATTTGCCAAACCTGCTGAAGTTCGATTTWCATAAAACARATACGTTTTTTCTGTACGCCAAAAGTTTCACAGACAAATAAAAGTTGGCAAATCATAAAATCTGCCACTATTTGAGATTACGTTTCTTTCCAGATGCGCAATTTCCACTTGGCGTTTGTGTTTTCGATTAAACATTTGGGCTGTAAAGTTGGGAATCCCCAGCATACTCCGCGAAGAATCCGGATTATGAAAAATTATTCAGATATTCGAGAATAATGTTTGTTCGCAAAGGACCAGCGGCTAGACCGCTACCGTTTTGCGGAACGCATTAAAATCCAGAAAAAGTTGGTAGCGAAGTTAGCAGATTTATTCGCTTGGCTTATACAACTTGTAAATATATTGTATCAGTTTTATTACTCTCTGCAAAATGCCGTACTTCGTTAGATCGCAGAGTTAGTTGGAAGTTTTGGCACAGCGGTTGATAATAACTCTAGACCTGATTGAAATATGACAACAACTAGCATAAAATTATTTATTTTGTATTGTCTGCAATCATTAAAGAAAAAAAATCATAGCTCGATAACTATGTCTGATACAAGTAGAATACATTTTTATATAAATTATACAGACGATAATTAAATGTGAATTTAAATCATAAAGCAGTAAATAATTGTTGGTGGATAATAAGATATATTTTTTTGTTTGACTCAATGTGCATAAGCTTCGAGTATATATTGATCCCAAACCTGGCTGAACTTAGAAGTATGAACATGACATTTGCTGAAAATATTTAGATAATGATTTCGAGGAAAAAACGTAGTTAAGAATTGTTACCTTTTGTGGTTAATAGGTTACATTTTTACTAAATATTTCGACAGTTACTAATATACGCTAACTACTAGATATCACGTTGTTCATTCCAATATATTACCTAACTTCCCAAGTAAGTTATTCAGCTTTGATCTGTTGCGAAGCTCCGAGTGCGGAAACTATTTTTTATGAGCAAAGCTTTGTGAAGGGCTTTAACACAACGATGCACAAGATCAAGAGCATAAATTCAGACATACAGGCTTCTGTCTTTGCTTAAGGAGTTCCAGGATGACAGCCCTAAAGGGGCTTATGCCGCCAGGAAGGAAACTAGTAGAATCAGGAATTTAAGGCTCTTTTACTTTCCTTGTCTTATTACATAAATTTTTTTAAATGTTCAAGTCTAAACAGACCTTTAGCTTAGAGCTTTTAAATCCTTATTTTGCAAGCGATGGCATAGTATTTGTTAAAAGGGAAATAATACCGAGAGCATTTCATATCTAATAACACCCTGACGCAAAATCTGTGAAAATGTTAGTGGAAACGATATAAAATCGCTGACTCGAGTCAAAATTGAATCACTTATTATCTGTAGACCAGACATTCAATATATAGAAACGCCATTGTTTCCTTAGTACAGAAATATTGCCGCAATATATTTTCACAGGAAATATCCAGGAATTCGAGGGATCGAACGTTATCTGCTCCGTAATAATAAAGAATTTTACAACGAATACGTGTGGTGGTTGCTAGCTGATTTCAACATTAAATTGCTTTCGTATTAGCAGTAGTTAGTACTTAAAGCATACCAGTTGAGATAATGTATACGTTATGTATATTAGCTTGCTTCATAAAACTAATCTGCATTAAAAAGAACCGGGACTAATACAATATTTCCAATTTTCGCCTTTGAACAAAATTATGATTTTAAAACGAGAATCCAATTCCCCTACCATAATGCTAAATCCAGCAGCGTTAATATCTACCTGGGAATAACAAAAGCAAAATTGTTTTAAAGCAAATCCCCTCGTCAAAACATAACTCATTGCTATTCAGATTTAATTTAGCTCTGCCTACAACGTATAACATATTCCTTTCTAGTTAGCATCCTGTGTACGAATTGAATACAGAATTTCGCTTTGATCTGGCAAGTCAAGATAACAAAGCCAGATTTCGGCGCCTTGTAACGATATAATACTATTAATGCTGACCAGATTAACTAATTATCAATCCTCGAAGAATTTATTATATATGTTCATTCTTACTTTGATATAAATTACTATATGTATATGACAATTGTTAATATTCAGGCGATACACAGTATAAATGGAATCAAAGTTTTAATTTTTCAAATGGAATATTTTCTATATTTCAATGTGTTTTGTAGTTCATGATATAATTCATTGATCTGCACCTAAGGGCTTTTCGGATAATTAATATTTTTAATTAATATAATAATATATTTAATTTTTGATAGCAAATATTTTCCATAGACAGGTATCTCTGTTATAGCATTTAACGTGGATTCAATTTAATTTCTACTGCTTCAATATTACATTTATGGCAATGTGTTTCCTATGGAAACTACACTACACTACTCTGGAAATTGACTGAAAGTGTTTAAGAGCGTAAAATAAGGAGAACAATTAAGTAGGAAGGAAGTCAAAAGGTCAACAGCTCGCAAAAAAATATAAATATATTCATAAACTCTAATGGTAACGACAATTTATATAATTCCATAAAATATTTAATATAGCTAATCAAATAATTGTAAACTTTTATTGCTTTATAATATACTTATATAAAAAATAAATACACAGTAGTAGCTTTTTAAGTTTAAGCTTATTTTTTAATCAGTATACATGAAATAAGCACCACATCAAAAAAAATACACATACTTACGATATGTTTTTTTAACTTGCTAAGTCGTAAAAATACTACATGGCGTTAAAGTCAAGGGAGCTTTTATTTACCCGATTTTCCCACAATATAAATTCCTTCCGGTAAATTATTTTCCTGCTCTAAAGTCTGTCGATATTGTTCATTTTGGTTATTAGCTGGAGCTAATGTGTTGATAACCTGGAAGTATGAAAATTTCTACCAACTGAACAGGATGTGCTATTTAAATTATAAAAAATTATGGATTTGCCCATTTGCGAAACCGATAATTATTGATCAAGTAAAATAAATATTTCCTACTTACATTTTTATGGCCAGGAGGTGCAGCACTTTGAGGAGAAGCAGTACTACCTAAACTAGGATTGTACAATCCATTGTCACCATTGTGAATAAGATGAGCCTGTACTGTTGGAGGAAGTGGTGTAGAAACGTACCTCACAAGCTGTTTTTCATATTGAGGCGTTGCTGAGGTAGTGGGAATGTAACTACCTTGAAGATGATCACGAGCATTCGTGGTATAAAGCTGCACATTTGGATGATGCTCATGCTAAGAAAAAGGTTGAGGTTGGCTAGCGTTGATGATGTTTCAAGATTAATGAACATTTACCTGCACTTCATTGCTGGGAATATTTTGAATATAATAAGCAGATTTTGGGGTGGATTGGGGTTCAATATTTGCATAACTAACAGGAACCTGAGTGGGCCTATACTGGTCCAGAATAACGAGATGGGGATCTTCCTGTGGCTGAACCACATTCTGCGATAGAAAATTTTTGCTTAAAGTTTATCAGCTATTGTTACAACTCAAATGAGTTAAAGCTGGGAAGCTGGGACAGAACTCCAAAAGCGGGTTAGGTTTTGCAATGTATATGCAAGCAAGTTGCGGCAAAGTGCATAGGAAAGGTGACAAGTAAAATGGTACACCTTTTCATGCAATCGAATTTAGCAGAAGATTTAGAAGCTGTACAATTGAAGGAAGAAAAGAGGAAAAGTGAGAAGAGTTAGAAATACGTGCAGACAAAGTAGAACAACAGCAGAAACTTGAAAAATTATACACCTAAATGCAAGTTTTTACAGAAAGTATTCACTAACACCAGGCAGCAAAGACCATTTTCCCAACCAAACCAGCAGTGCTACTACATTGCGAAATATTCAATATATTAGCAGATAAAAATGAAACATGTCAAAGCATTTCTACATCTTTTCCTTCTATTTAACCAATAATTTCAGCCGGATCCGTCCGTCTTTCAATTCAAGTTCGATTATGCTAGCGTACATTTCAGATAAGGATTGTCATATAACATCAAATAATCACTTTTCTGAGCTTTTGAACCAGATGTTCATACCTTCAAACTAGTTCAAGTTACGCCAACGTATCAGAAATTATTTATTTGAGTAAACTGGATGAAAATCCAAACAAATCAATCGCTCAAGCATCAATTAAAAAGCACTAAAACCGGACTCGTAAAACTTCTAAAAGACATCAGGTCCTCACTAAACAGGCAACCGTAAATAGACGCTTCACTTATCCGACAAATAAATTTATACGACACATAAAAACACTAATCGGAGATGAAAATACCGCTCACCGGCGAATTACACTCGTCAAGTGAAGCTGAAATTATAAGCAATAATGGCGTTCGGGCTCGGACCGAAAAACAGGCAATTTTACGCTAAATAAAACTTTATGTTCTCTTTTATAAGGACGATACCTTCAAAAATCAACAGCAGCTTCAAATGTAAAAGTGAAAAGAGTTATATAAATGAACAAGCTGTAGTGCTATGTTAAATCATTAAGGCGAAAACTAGGGTTCTTCAAATGTTAAAACTTACATGATCGCTTTCGTCAGTTATATAATCATAACTAGTGGCAGCTTTAACTCTTCCTCTGGCCCCGAATTGCCTTACTGGAACTGAGCTAACCTGGACCTTTTGGGGCACATAAACTGGCCGGGAAATTCGGGGTGTTTGCACGATCTGATGTCCTACAGCTTCCGGGTCATTTTCGTATTTTACATCAGCTTTATACCTGCACAGATAAGAATTTCCTATGCAACATAAGTCGATCGACAGAATATTATTAGATGTGAAAACTCCTAAGGATCAAAATTAGAGACATCAAACAAAACTGGTAAAATATCACAAAAGCTGGTGTAAACTGTCGTAATTAGAGAATATAAATCATTTAGTTGAAAGTCGGTAAATTTTATTACCGTTTAATGTTCGGCTTCAGTTTTAATTATTTTGTTCGCTAGTGAAACTTGAAAATATTACACTGGAATTACAAATTCTTACCCATCTTTGTCCGCTTTATACGACACAATTTGAAGCCGTCCATCAGGCAGTTTCACTCTGTACTCTCCGTTAGTTGCTTTTGAACTTCTAATTTGCTGATGCGAAAAGTCATCGCCAGTCGCCTTATCTAGAACTTTGTAGGCAAAAGCGTAGTTTTTCTTTTGCTGCAAAAAAACGGAAGTCCAACAGCTGAGCAAAAAATGTAACAAGTTTGCGAAAGTTAAATGCGAAAACATTAAATTGATGTATGGAGAATGTTAAATGCTGAGTTCTATAGTTCTACTCCACAATAAAAGCTGAGAAAGGTGAAGTTTACTTTTGCAGTTCAGCGAACTGTTTTAATTTCGCTTTCAGACTGCATTTTTGCTTTCGCTTTTTTATTTTTAGATTAGTTTTTATTATTAGTTTCATAGTCGCTTGCTTGAGACTTCTGATTTTACAACAGCCTTCGCATAATATTTTTATATACAGGGTGGCCCACGGTTGATGGCACGTTAGACGTATAAAGAAAACGCAACTTTAGATTGTTCTGAAAATTTGGCTGCTTCTGTAATCAAGCGTGATCGAACGATTTAAAATATGAAAATATTTTTATCAATTTTGCGATTTCAAGGGAAGAATTATAATACTGTTTTTTCATTCCAAATTACCTTAAACTACTCTTAAAGTTTTTCTCGAATTGTTTCCTTTACTTATCTCTAACGGTTTTCTACTACTTTCCTAATTTTTGGTTTAAAACTTAGATCTAATAAAATTTTTATAATTTATATGCAGAAAGTTCAATAAAAATTTTTCAAATGGAAAGAAGTTATTCACAAATTCATCCGAACTTTTGAAGAAATTTCCATTCTCTATGGACAATATGTATAATCAAATAATAATACAGGAACATGAAGAACGTTCAATGAAATGTTGTCCGATCAACAGCCAATCAATCCGAAAAAATTTATAAATTTTCAAAATAATTATGAGTCAAAACTGAAATCTGAAAACGTTTACCAGCGGTAACATTGTTTAACACAATGTACCTATCTAAAAGAGAGATAGACTCATACTAATCTCATTAAATAATGAATTTACTATTCGGCAAAAGCCGAACAATAAAAAAATCACTTAAGCTAAATAAGTTATTCAAGACAATTTTAGCTTCGCCACGATTTAGCAATTTGGATATCAAATGTAACGAGCCAGGCGGAGCACTTTTGGCATGAAAGTTTTATAAACAGCCTTTTATCTTCCCTCCGCCTGGCAAATGATGTTCCTCGTTAGGTCAATGATAGAACTGGGGTCATCCATTGCAGCTCGGATGTCGATAAATTTTATATTGGGGCAATTAACTTTCTTTGTTCGCATGTCAAAGAACCAAAAAGTAAAATAAAATGAAAGGAAATCAATTAAGACCGACAAACATGTTAGCTGTTTGAGCTGCTACGAAAACACGCAAAATGTGTAATTAATTTAATAAAGAAAATTAAACAAGATTTAAAAGTGACCACCATCGCTGTTTTCAAAGGTCTTGTTTGATAAGTTTGCTTTCAAAACTCTCACTCTCAGAAGCTTAGATTAGTCTCTGAAAAGCTCACTTTTTTTCACAAAATTCTTCAGTTTCACAGGGGATATGCCGGGGCGTTGGTTTCATTCATTTTCCTGTGAGGAAACGCCGCACCAAATATTAATAAGTAAACAAGAATGCAAACAAACGTCTAGTCGAGGACGAAAGAGCAGGAGCTATTTGCATACTGAATGAACGACAGCGACCCTTTAAAACTTTGAAAGGGGTTATTGAACTGATATGAATCCGAATATTTCTTGCTTCGATCTTCGAACAAACCTATCCGGACTTTGATTTAGATCAATCCCACTCTACGTAAATAAACTTGGTTCCAGCTGAGCTAATTAACGTTTTGTGAATTTGCTTTCTCTCGGCCTTCCATTCATAATAAATCAAAGAGAAAGCTTAAACAAAGCTCTACCAACTAACTGAGTTAAAACCAAACTGTCTGGATTGCAACGAAATTGCATAGGAAATGCATCCTACAAATTTGCAATATTTTGTCGAAGTTTTTATACGTCCTGTTGCCAATGCTTCCATTGCACTGGTGCTCATTATAATATCGGAGCCAAGTGGAGGGAGGCATAGAGGCTCTATTTTATGGCATTAAGGACTAAGAGCCGCATGATATTTCCACTATCTGAATATCCCATTAGTTGGTGAGAACATAAACACGCATTTTAGTGTACGGTGGCCAATGATTGGGGGTCTGATAATAAATAAACAATGATTAATATATTATTTGCAATAACTAATTAAATAAATCAGGCAACAGTTATGAAGAGTTGGCATTTTACATAGTCTGGAAATATGGCAAAAGCCCTGAAAACTAATTAGGAACGTAATATATGGGTGCATGCAATACATTCATGTTAGGTTAGTAATTTAAATTTGAAGCAAATGCGGATATCAGTTAATTAAAACTTGTTTGAATTACGTAATTAGTTAGGCAAAATAACAATTTTCTGTTAAAGTTTTACTGCAAATTAACATGTTACAGACAATTACGTATTATTAAACTATTAATGGGTATGTACAATATGTTCAAATTGAAACCATTCCATCTTAGAAGTAAAAATTTCAAAAATTAGTGGTTTTACTTATATCTCAGTTGACAATATAAACTAAATAAAACACGTAAACACTCGCAAAGCCTTGCCAGTATTCTATTTGATTATTTAATTACGACCAGTAATAGAAAAATTCATGAGTAATTGTGCAAGTGCAACTGTAATTATTTTAAAATGATTTTATTATTCTGCTCAACAACATCCTCGGATTTTACAGTGAACGCTGTTGCATTAATCTTTTTCAGCCCTTTTAATTTCAACTTTGCTCCAAAACGGCTAAATGCATACAAGAAAATATTATTCGCAAAAGTAAAACCTTGCACAGATTAAAAAAGTTGCCCGTGAATTATGGCTGGGAAGCAGCAGATTTTTGTTTTGCTTATATGCGTTAAATATTACGTTGTTTGCTGTTCGAGGCTTAATCTTGGGGATCGTTCTGTAGACAACTTAAAACAGTTTTGTATTAGCTTTATATAATTATAAGCCTAGGGTTATTAAATTTGCCAGTTAATATAAGTAAGCTACTGGTCTGTATTAGTATTTGATACATTGGGATTCACTTTAATTCCGTCGGGTTGAGTTGTTAGTAAGGAAACGAATGTGAAATATTTCCTCCTTTTTTTATTTCACTCGGAAACATGCAGCAATAATAGAATAGCACTTATATAATTGAACTTCAGATATGAAATTTGAACACATTTTTTTATTAAACAGTTTTGTATCAATTAGAAACAAAATGTAAATACCGCCTTTTGTTTAAAATCCTATACACGTTTTGAACAGCAATTATTGAGTGCTTGTGATATTAGCTCAACGTGAAAACTATCCAAAATAAACAATAATAAATCTTTATTGCCATGCGAAGCTGGAATCTATGTTAATTAGCTTAAGATACGAAAAGCCTATTATGCTTCATTATAATGCCCGGGCAAACCTAAACGCAGTCACTTCATGCAGTAAATTATTGGCCGTCTATTCAAAATAGGAAATCAAAACAGTGCCTGCAAAACGCAAAATGCAAAAGAGGGATTTCATCCATTGTTTGCCGAATACAGATAGTTTTCCCTACAAATTGAAGTCATTTTCCAATTCTAAAGGTATAGAGTTCGGAACCTATTTTACTTTTATAAAATAATGCCGGATAAAGAACGTCGTTTCTGCGAGACTGAATTTTCTTACGAGGATTTTACAACTCTCGTTTTGCAGAAAGTTCATAAAAGCGGTGTAAAATTCGACAATAAAATGGTTAATATTTTAGAAAACAGAGACGATATTTGGCGATATAAGTCTAGATTTAGATATTATTTTGAAAACGGAAAACTTACCAAGTTAGTGCCATAGTTGTCGAGCTGCTGAGTAGGGTAGCTTATCAATTTAGCCTCTTGTTGATACAGATCATTATAAATGGCCGGATCAACTTGGCTCACCTGAAATCAATTAATCCATGTTAAGTCATGTGAGAGTTAAGAGAAACGTCCTTAAAAGTTTTATGTGCTGAACATTTTTTTTTAAAAAGAAATGACATTTTGATATGGCTCATAAAATATAACACATAAAGCTCATCATGTAAGCAAGCTCAAGCAAGAAATAATATTTTTAGCAACCTCATCAATATTCTGCATCAAAAATGAAAATCTATCTTAAAAAATACAATACGTTCGCCATATAACCCGCATGCATGCAAGCTGGATATAAAATATTCCTCTATTATATTTCCAACGTCATTGCAAGGTAAAGAAAATTGATAGTTTTAGAGAACGGAGAGCTAAAATGGAAAAGCTGAAACAGAATGTATTCTTTACGCCGCAAGCAGCTCATTTTTCGGTTGCATAAACCAGAATTACTAGTTTATTTTACTTCACTATGCAGGTTATGCATATTGAAGTCGGGCTATTTCTCTTCGGCAACTAAATTTAAATTGAATATTTTACAGCTGATCATCGAAGAGCTCGCGCAATATTCCCAACGTCGAGAATGCTACTTTATACAAGATATATATAATGTAAAAATGTAACAAAGTGATAAAGTCAATTTTGATGTTGGTTGAAAAGGCAAACATACAACATACAACAATCCAAATATTCAATTAAATAAGTTGAATTGAGTTTTTCTTCTTTGGCTATTAGTATATTTGAAAAACTAATCATACAAACCGCACATTTATATTAAATAAAAACAGGTTTAAAAAGCTTATTGATCTTTAGATTCATAATATTCCAATGTACGATGGACACAAACTTTGCGCGAATAATTAAAGATATTCGCAGTTGCTACATTCATGAAAGTAATCATATTCATGATTTTTTTCTTATTACCTACATTGAAAAATTCTAAACTTAACAAAACAACAATTAATTTGTTCCAATTTTATCTAGTAAGAACGTTACGCCAGCTCTTTCGCTCGTAGAATTCAATAGTTTTTCCTGTGAAAATTTCCAATTACTGCAGCTTTTCCAATTTGCAAAACTGGCTTTTATAAAAATAATGAAAATTTAGCACCACTTCGGAAAAGACCTAAACGGAAATGTGCATAGCGGAGCGTTCGTACTGCAGTCGGCTGGCAGTCCGAAATAACGCCAAACAGGAAAACCATTTCGGGAAACGTGCTTTGGCCAAGTGGATTCTTAGTTTGTTATAATGCTGTCATCTTTAATATACGACTATGTATTTTGTCTATTAATCTTAGTTTTGCGACACCATGTACTTGACAGTAATAAATTGAACCATGAGTAGCTACTGTATCAAATCTAGCACCAACAAATTATAATCAAACAGAAGCTTCTAACTCGTGGTATTCGCAAAAGTTAAATAATTAAAAGTAATAATTAAAAGTAAGTAAATAATTAATAAGTAAGTAAGTAAATAATTAAAAGTAGCTAGGCTAAGGCACATATATACTAAACAAGGGCAGAAAGACCGATTGGGTCGATAGCCTTTTTCTGTAGGAAATAAAGATTATTTATATATAT